ACCAGTATAAACCGGTTTGAGTCGGGTTAAACCAGTACAAACCAGTTTGGGGTGCGGGGAGTGAATGGGGGGTGAGCGGAGGGCGCCCCCTGGTGGTTGTTGGGGAGGGTGTGGAGGACCAGTATAAACCAGTTTGGACCAGTATAAACCAGTTTGGACTAGTATAAATCATTATAAGCCAGTCTAAACCAGTATAACCCAGTATAAACCAGTATATCCCAGTTCAAACCATTCCAAACTAGTCTGGCCCAGTCCAAACCAGTAGAACCCAGACCAGACCAATCCAAACCAGTATAACCCAGTCAAAACCAGTCCAAACCAGTCTATCCCAGTATAACCCAGTCCAAACCAGTGTAACCCAGTCTATCCCAGTACAAACCAGTCCAAACCAGTCTATCCCAGTCCAAACCAGTCCAAGCCAGTATAAACCAGTATAACCCAGTCTGTCCCAGTCTATCCCAGTCTGTCCCAGTCTATCCCAGTCCAAACCAGTATAAACCAGTCCAAACCAGTATAAACCAGTCTAACCCAGTCTATCCCAGTCCAAACCAGTATAAACCAGTCTGTCCCAGTCCAAACCAGTATAAACCAGTCCAAACCAGTCTATCCCAGTCCAAACCAGTATAAACCAGTCTGTCCCAGTCCAAACCAGTATAAACCAGTATAAACCAGTCTGTCCCAGTCTGTCCCAGTCCCCCCCCGTCTGGGCAGGGCGGGGCCCCCCCGTGGCCCCGGTCCCGAATCCGGGGGGGGCAGAGCAGCCGCTCCCAGTTCATCCCAGTCCGGACCAGTGCCCGAACTGGTTCATACCTGGGGCACACCCGTGACGTCACCCGTGACGTCATCGGCGCGGGAAAACCCGGAAATTGGGGGGGAAAAGGGAAAATTTTGGGGTTTTTTGGGGGTGATGACGTCATTGATGTCACTGGTTCATAGCTGGGGCGCACCTGTGACGTCATCAGCGCAAAAAAATGGGAAGTTGGGGAAAATTTTGGGGAGAATTGGGAGAATTTTGGGGATTTTTAGGAAGATTTTGGGGGTTTTTGGGGGGGTGATGACGTCATTGATGAGGTCGCTGTTGTCAGCGGCGGTGTCACCGGTGACGTCATCACCGGAGGAAAAGGGAAATAAGGGGAAAATTTGGGGAAATTTTGGGGTTTTTTAGGGGATTTCAGGTTTCCGGGGGGTTATGACGTCATTGATGAGGTCACTGACGCGATCGGTGACGTCATCGGCCCCCCAGAGAGAAAAACGGGGATTAAAAAAAGGCGGAAAATTTTGGGGATTTTTAGGGGGGATTTTGGGGTTTGGGGAGGGGGTGATGATGT